ACTGAACAGGAATTTATATTCTTGCCTTTGTCACCTGACTTCTCTACCTAGTCGCCAGATGTCAGAAGTAGCTAGGGACATTTCTACCAACATTTTCAGCCCCAAGTCCTTCCTCTTGCCATTTATTTGCTGTTTAGTATTTTTTTTCCAGCCCCTCAATGCTCATGAGATTTCTCCAGACTTCACCTAAGAACTCAATCCACCAAGGGACAGCTGCTGCTCACTGCCTTCTCTGGGAGGAGACCAAATTCCAGCCTTTTACCCCTATTGTCGACGCCCCTTGTCAGCAGGAAGTAGCCAGAGAGAATCCTCGCCCTATTTCATGATTATTAAAAGACTGGATGCCCCTGGATGGCGAGCAGACTCCACCCTCCTCGCAGCAAAGTCTCCACCCAGTACCTGCATTACCTAGGCAACTGGGACACCTGGAAGAGGTCACATCTGCATCCGCTGAGGTCACATCTGAATTTGATGTGGCCACACCTTTCCCCACCCATATCCTAGATAAGGGCTAGCCCAGGCCCAGACTCTCTCTTCCTCTCTCTGTGTTTCTAGCTCTCTGCTCTCTCTCTCCCTTTTCTAGCTCTTTTCTCTCTCTTTCCTTTCTTTCCTCTTTCCTTTCCCAGCCACGTGGAGTGCCAACCTTGCCTGGTCCCATCAGGTCTACTGAATAAACCTACCCCTTACCTGGATACCACGTGAGTGCTACTGTTCTTACCCTTCTCTCTGTTCTATTCTAGCTCTCTCTCTGTTCTTACCTCCCTCTCTGCTCTTCTTTTCTAGCTCTCTCTGCTCTTGCTCTTCTTTTCTAGCTCTCTCTGCTCTTGCTCTTCTTTTCTAGCTCTCTCTGCTCTTTCTCTGCTCTAGCTCTTTCCTCTCTTTCCCAGCCACGTGGAGTGCCAACCTTGCCTGGTCCCAGCAGGTCTACTGAATAAACCTACCCCTTACCTGGATACTACATGAGTGCTACTGTTCTTACCCCTCTCTCTGCTCTTTTCTAGCTCTTTCCTCTCTCTTTCCCAGCTCTCTCTCATTCCCAGCCACGTGGAGTGCCAACCTTGCCTGGTCTCAGCAGGTCTACTGAATAAACTTACCCCTTACTTGAATACCACGTGCTGGTGCAGTTCTACTCAGCTCTCCCTCTTTTTAAAAACCTAACACTTATCTCCAATAAACCAATAGAAA